TGTTAGGCATCAGAATAGGTAAGCTAAGAAGCCACATTTCTTTTTGTTGTTGTTGTTCCTCAATTATCTGAGAAGAAAGAATTACAAATGCATGGGTGTACTTCCCCATTCTGAGCATTTCCAAATTTTATTCAGTGACTTTAAAATGTTTCTTGACTGAACCGAAACTCCAAGTGAAAAATGATATATAGGACATAGAATGCAAAAATGAAACAAGAAACTTTAAAAGGTTAATCTGAGAAATTAAATCTCCAATCTATTGTTGTATGTTTTAAGAAATTACTCTCAGGATTCTCTTACTGCAGTGGTTCTCAACCTGTGGTCCATGGATCCTTGGGGGCCCATGATGTTATCACAGGGGGACCGCGAAGGCTTGAAGAAATGTTATGATCTAAATCTTGAGTTAAGTCTTGGTGGTTCATGGCTATGGTCCATGGCCACAAAACGTATTTAAAGGAGGTCTGTGGTGAAGCACAGTAGACCATTGTCCTACTAGAATCACTAGTTTAATTTGGCAGGAGCTGTCCACCAACAACAGTACTGAAAAAGTTAGAAGTGAGGAGTCCTTAGAAGTGTATCATGAAATAAGAAGTTAGAAGTGTGTCATGAAATAAGGGGAGGAAAAGAATGGAGTTATTCTGGAACAGTAGCATGGAAAAAGAAATCACCTTTAAGCCTTGAGGTCCATCCTGTCCAGGAGGTCCCTGGATGCCAATTCCAACTGAACCCTAAATGGTACAGTGAATGAAAAATAGTAATGTAATGCATAGTTATGTGAATTATATGAATAAACCATGGTGATAGAGCATTTCTCACAGACTGTACCCCCTGAGAACTCTCATAGTTCTTCCTAAAACACAACAGTTCATGACATACATCTGAACAAACACAGCAATTCCCCAGTGCTCTTTTGTAGGCATTCTTCTCTATGCTGTCATCTCCTATCCACTATAGGAGTGGATGTGATTGAATGATGTGATTTCAGAATGCTGTGCTGGAACTAAGGACTAAAACATACACTCTAATATCTTGTGTATTATTTAATCATCTTAAAACACACATCTTCTATAGAATCAGGAATAAAATACATGAGAATCACCATATACCTTTTCTCCTTTGATCCCAGGTGATCCTTTGGCTCCCTATTAAAATTCAGAAACATATAATAGATTATTGTTCCATGGTTGATAATAACGTAAAGATGGAAGAAGGCACATGAAGTCTTTCAAAATCAGAACAAAAAAGAAGACAAATAGACAACATATCTCATGAAAAAACAGTCTGTTAGAAGTCTTTGAGATCAAAATTTAATATGTAAAAACCCTTGAACACAAGAAGTTATCCAGTGTTGGGAATAAGTTGTCTCAGTCTAGCTTCTATTTTGAAATTTTAAAAACTTCTTGAGGCAGGGATTTAATATTAGGCATAGTTTAGTGTATTTGACCAAATAAAAATATTATTCATTTTTATATCATAACTCTTTACAACTGAGTCTTTTCATCTGACCAAAACCCGCTTGGGGTATTTATATTTCTACTAAGTCATTGTAGATTCTGCAACCATACAATTATTATATTGTATATTTCAAACTACTTACATCTTCTCCAGGATCTCCAGGTACCCCCAAACTTCCAGGATTACCCTATTATAAAAATATAGACATAATCTAGATAGGTCAACATTGAGAATGAATTAAAGACAAATATTTCTGTGAAGCTAACAGATGCTGGAGAATGAAAATTTAGGTTCTTGTCTGGAAAATGGTTTTCTTACTTTCTCTCCACGAGGACCTGGTAGGCCTCGATCACCCTTGAGACCCTGCAAAGAAGAAAGATCAACCTCAATACTCGCTCTGGGAACTAGTTGCCTGGAAATGGGGAAAATAAGCATCGAAAAGAATAAGAAAAGCCAACTTACTGGCTTCTTCAGAAATTCCTCATCAAAAACGCCTGGTTCACCCTAAAACAGACCATGAAGATAATTTATCAATATATGAATGTCCATTCATATGGGCTTTATCTTACTTTTCTAGAAAGTGTACAAAATCCACCTCTTTATGTAACAGAATTCAGTTATTTGCCAGATATTCATAGAATATGTTCTTTCTAGGAAAACATGTCAAAAGCAAGCTCAAATAAGACATATCAGCAACATTTTCCTACATAATACAATCAAATTTTCATTCAAGGGCTACTGCCTGGGGGCTTCTGGAGGAAGAAATGGCAGAATGAAGACAACTTCGAAAAGTGGAGTTGACACTGTGATTTATTTGATCAAGATTAAAATAGATATGCTTGTTTGTTAAGCCTTCCTGGACTTTTGCTGACATCAGGACTGAAATGATGAGACTTTATGAAGTTGTTTATAGATAATAGATGGAAAATGGGAAGAATACAGTATTTGTTATATTTTAAGAGGTGATAAGTTATTAAAATTGTTTATACTCGTGATGAAAGTGAGAAATCACTTTTTTATATATTTCTTTTCTTTTACTCTAATATATTGTTTTTTTTATTTTCTGCACTTTCTATTCTTATATATTCATCTATCTTTTTTCAGTTTGTACTATTATAATTAGAATCTTTAACAAAATTACCATATACTGTATATATCAAGAACTAATTTTTGCAGGATTTTGTGAGACAAAATCTGGAAATTTTGAAGCAACTAAAGAATATTTAATTGATTTTTGTAAGTTCTTATGCCCTAAATAATATATTAATTTTCCGTATTTATTTATATGGATTTTAGCTTACCCTTTCACCTTTTACTCCAGGAGGCCCCACTATACTCTATAATAATAAATCAGAATAAGAAGAAAGATTAACAGGAATACATGATATCAAAACATTTAGTTTTATTCTAAAAAATGAATGCAGAAATTAGATATATAGCTAAGAAAAGCTAAATAATTTAGGACAATAGAAAAAGAAGGATGATCTGCTTTCTTCTGCAATTAATAATAAAGTACTGTCCTTTTAAACCTATCATTATATTAATGATGAAACAAATAGCAACATAATAATGAAAAAGAAATCCTAAGATCCTATCATGTCTTCCATACTTCAAACAAAGGTCCAAAAAACAAAGGATGAAAATTTACTGTTAACAAAAAATACATTCCATATAGTTGTTCACAAAATGTAATGGTTCTATAATCTCTCCTAAAGAATGTTAATCATTGGAAATAAAGAAACATATGTCTCTTCCAGTCTAAAAACTATTTGCATCATATTTATCCCTAAATAAATTTCAACATTCACCATTAAAAAAGGCTTCAGGTTATTTATTTATTGAAAAAACATATTTTGTTTATATAACCTCCTGACAAATGATGGAAAAGAACAAATAATCTCATGATTGTTTCAGAGATTTGTTTTGATAATCTGTGGTCAGTTTCCACACACTATATATTCTTTCCTCCTGAGCCTTAGGATAGTTATATATGATCGGAACACCACCAATCAGCTGTTCCAGGCTGTGGGGATCGGCATTGCCCTTTGGCGGCGGCGCCGCGCATCAGTGCCACCATTTATATCTGCCTCCGTGTGCCCCATTTTCGGCCTCTGCAAGCCCCATTTTCAGCCTCCACATGTCTCATTTTCAACCCATTCCAGGCCCCTGGAATGGGCCGAAAATGAGACATGTGGAGGCTGAAAATGGAGTGTGCAGCAATAGATTGCCCGCAGCCTGGAACAGCTGATGGGTGGTATTCCGGGAGGCAGATCCAACTGCCAATCATCTGCTCATGCTAAAGCTGACCAGGCTGTTTGCTGCAAGGAGGCAAATTGCTCAGAGGCAGAGGCCAAAGGGTGGGGGCCAGCAAGTGGGCGGGGCTTCAGCAACATTTGCTGTACAAGATGCACAGACATTTCCACCCACTTTTTTGAGGAGGGGGAAAGTGCGTCTTATAGTCTGAAAAATATGGTATATTTATGATGGCTGCAGTGTTCTGGGGTTATGTGATCACAATTTGTAACCTTCCCAGACAACTTCTGATAAGCAAAGTCAATGAGGGAAGCTCAGTTCACTTAATAACTGCATGATTCTGCATGAGGACCCAGATTGTTGGGGGCAATATTCTGACTCTTTAAATCACTTAGAGAGGGCTGTAAATGCACTGTGAAGCGGTATATAAATCTAAGCGCTATTGCTATCGCTATTGCTGTGATTCACTTAACAAATATGCCAAAAAGGTTGCAAAATAGGGCACTATTCAACCGCTGCCTTTTGGGCTCAACTATGGTCATAAATAGAGAAGTACCTGTATTGTTTTGACAAGCCATCAGGTTTTAAAATTATTTAAAACTGAAGCAAAAATGTATTTTTGAAAACTTACTACACAGAGTAGGGAGCAAAAGGAAAACATGTAAGCTATCCATCAAAGATAAAGAAAGGAAAGGAAAGGTTGCCTCTCACCTGTCCTGGGGACCCAGCATCTCCAGGTTCCCCTTTAGGACCAGCAGGTCCTGAAGGTCCTGGAACACCCTGCAAAACAATTAACAAAAACATTTTTAGGAGGACAGAAGCAGAGATTATGATAGGCTGCTGCATCCCACACTGGTGATGCAATCCTATTCTTCTTCTTCTTGTGCCATATCCATCATCGGATGTTAGCGTTCATGTTGGTGATCCTATTTTTATCAACAGCTGCATGAAAAAGTGCTGTTGAGTGTTGTCTAAACTTTAGATTTTGAAGCCATGATGTTCTTCTTCTGGCTGGACCTTGTTTGCCTTCAATGTTTCTTTGGAGGATTAAGTGAAGTATGCTGTATTTTTCTGGGTGTCGCATCGCATGTCCAAAATATTCTAACTTCCGCTTTTTAATGGTTTTGATGATTTCCCTTGGCTTTCCCAGGCAGCTTATGACCTCTGTATTTCTGATTTTGTCAACCCAACCCAATACATAACAGCCGCCTGTAAATCCACATTTCAAATGCTTCTAGTCTCTTCAAGTGGCTTTCTGCCAGAGACCAACTCTCCGCTCCCTAGAGCAGGATAGAAAATATGTAACATCTGACAGTGCTATACATGTTTGTTTAGAGACATTTCCCGCTATATTCAGATTTATTTATTAATTTATTAAATGTGTATGCTACCCTTCTCTCTGTTCCCACGACTCTGGGTGACACATGAGATCATCTATATGATTTTAGTGTCACTCGTGTCACTCGTGTTTTAAAAGTCAAGTTGCAAGACTGTTTATGTCTAATATTTTCTACCTATGTTGCATGATCAGGCAGAGTGAATGTAGCCTTGCTTCCTTAAGCAATGTAATATATTGACACCCAGGAGGGCTGTCTTCTCTGCTGGATACCTGCTGTTTAGAATAACATACCCACTCCCTCTCCAGCCTGCTGATGTTAAAGAGATCTCTGAAAACCTAGCTCTTTTCACAGGTCTTGGGTAAGAATGGATGTGCCCGATGGCACAGTGGTTAGAATGCAGTATTGCAGGCTCAGGGGGTTTATCGTCACCAGCTCAAGATTGACTCAGCCTCCCATCCTTCCGAGGTGGGTAAAATGAGGAGCCAGATTGTTGGGGGCAATATGCTGAGACTGTAAATTGCTTAGAGAGGATTGTAAAGCACTGTGAAGTGATATATAAGTCTAAGTGCCATTTGTGTGAGGAACTGTCTTTTTTTCAGATGGGCATGTATTTGTATACATTTTGTATTTGTATTTTTCACTGCCCGCTTCAATATTACCTTTTAACTCTGAAAGCCACCCTAATCTAATAGAGTTGGCCTCCAAACTGCTTAAATTCATAGAGAAGAATTGTGCAGTTTAACACAGAGACATACCATTTTCCCGGGCGGTCCAGGCTCCCCTTCTTTTCCAGACACTCCATCTCTTCCTGGTACACCTGGCTTCCCTGGCTCACCCTAGTGAATAGTTACAGTTCATATGAACATTAAAGCATTTATTAAGAAGAAACAGTAATTTGATTCAAAGTACGAAATGATGACCCACGGAAAACTGAACAACCAAGAAGAAGAAGGAGCAGAAGCAACTTACCACTTGTCCTGGTAACCCTGGAGGGCCCTGTGGACCCTAAAAAGCAGCCCAACAAGAAACATAGATCAGTTCAGGAATTTAATAGTTCTCTCAAACTAAAGCAGGATATTTGCAACCTACCACAGGCCCAGAAGATCCTGGTGGTCCTGGGAATCCCACAGTTCCTGGAGGGCCTGGCATACCCTACAAGGAAAAAAAATCACTTTGATCAAAGTTATCAACAGGCATCCAATCAGACCTATTGCATGGCTTTTCCATCCTGAGCCTTTGCCAGAAGTTGGAAATATCAATTGTTAGAAGGGAAACTCACAAAATGCATCTATTCAGGTAGTCCTTTGTTAAAATATTCATGACTGGGAGAGACATGGTAACAAAGCCAGTCAATGAACAGGCATAGCAACTAAGTCAGCCAATGGGAGCTTAAACAGATTTGAGTCTGGGTTGAGAACTGAAACTGAAACAAGACTGATCTTTCTGCTCTGAACTCTGAATGAAACTGTTCTCTCTGTATTCCACTTGTAACTTGTACCACGTTGAAAGAATCTACTGTATTGTACATTTATTCATCTGGTATTATGTATATAAAGAAGTTAATGAATCCAGCTGAATCAGTTATCTGTGTGTGCTTTCCAGGTTTGATTTTTCTGCAGCAAACTGTGACATCCTCGACATGATCATTTGTCTAATGATGGTCCAAAGGCTCAGAAAGAGTGCTGGCCATCAAAAAATGTTGCAAAACCTCTGCTCAGGTGATCACACTCTGAGTGCGTGGTAACCTGTTCAACTGATTACCGAACGCCTCAGTGATCACCCTTTGCATTCTTCCATGCCAGCTTCCCTGCCAGTCAATGGGGCAGGAAAGGGTTGCAAGCTTCTGTTGCCTGCTGAGAGACCCTGTCCCATCTCTTGGGATTGGCTGAGAGAGCTGCTTGGCAAGGGGAGCTGAACACATTGGTGGAGTGCAGAAACGGAGCTCAAATCCTGAAGTTCCTGCAGCCTACTAGAGTTCCCTTCCACACATGGAGGAACTGAACTCCTTTGGCAGGCAGCTTTTTCAGCCAGCCCCTAGAGATGGGAGGGAGCCAAAATTCAAGCACAACGTGAAGAGGCAATGCTAAGAAGCATGGAGTGCCTCAGGCTGGTAGGGGAGGCCCAGGGATGCCTAGTGCAGACTGCATGTGAGTCTCTCTTTCAGCAGGGAGGAATTTCAGCTCCTGAGCACAGAAAAAGCACAGTAAAGAAAAGAGCACAGATTGCCTCAGGGGATGTGGGAAGTCTGGGAAGACCCAGTACAGGCTGGGTGCAAGTACATTTGAAAATCCTGCTTTGATTTCAGCAGGGAGGCTCTTCAGCTCTTGAGTGGAGACCCACAGTGTCTTCCCTGCCTTTTCTGAGGCACCCCAGAGTCCTTAACGCTGAACTTAATGAGTGTAATTGGGAGTCCAGGGATTGTGCTTGTTGAGTGAAACAGTTATGTAATGTCTCACTTAACAACTGCTTTGCTTAATTGCTGAAGTTCCTGTCCTAATTTTGGTAATAAGTTGAGGGCTATCTGTAGATATATATTTTTTACTATGAACAAATCCTTGAAATAGCGGTAGGTCACAACGTTTTTGAGTTACTACAATGTGTGTTTGGGAAACCTAAAAAGATACTTACTCGTGTGCTTGACCCAGGTTCTCCTACATCTCCCTGTAAATAACAAATAAAAATTGAAACTTTCATCTTATTACTTGTATTTGAGAGAAAACTGTGTTTTTAATGTTTCAACATCTACAGAAGATAATGCAGATAAATCACATACCATAACATTAGAAGTTCTGTGCTAAATTTTATAAACCATATTGTTCAGAGGATATCATATGTATATAGGCTGGTGTTCCCAAAGATATACTCCTCTAAACAAAAAACCCAGAACTATTCTATTTTCAGAATACTAAAGTTATATGCAGCAACTAAAGTTTATCAACCACTTGTGGGATTCAGCCAGTTCATACCTATTCTGGAGAATCGGTTGTTAACTTTCTAAGCAATTTGGAGAACCGGTTGTTAGAAGAAATCTCATTTTGTTTTTTCTACTTTACAGGGCTAATCTTGTAATGGAGACAGGAAGGAAACATTCTGGTGTTGTTTCTAGCCTAATCTTTAAGTCTAACTGCTATTTATTGCCCTGGTTACAGAAACTGCCTCTCCGGTTAACCTTCATTACATTGTAACAGCTACGGCGAAGTGCCCATTGATGCGAGTGACGTTGTATTGGCCACATCTACCCAATCACATGAACACCGAGCCATGTCTACCCAGCTGGTCATTAGGGCAGAGAACTGGTTGTTAAATTATTTGAATCCCATCACTGTTATCAACTATGTGGCATGAACTTACATACATATATATGATTGTTTTAGATGATATAGCGAGAGAAGAACACAATTTTATTACAGAAATATCCTCACAGGAAAGAAGAGCTGACAAGTTGGGAGGAAAGAAGACAGAGATTAAAGAAAAAAGTAATGGACAGTGATTGGTGACCCAAAATGGATTCTAAGTAGCTCTGGCTGCTAAAGATTTGGTTCCAGAGTTCGTCAGGACAAAGATCCTGAAGCAAAGTTGAGGGTTATAAGCAGAGATGGGATCCTACCGGTTTAATAACCGGTTCACTTCAACTTCTAGAATTCCATAGCAGCAATCAAATCAGATCACATACCTTTATTCCAGGTATGCCTTGAGTACCAGGTGGGCCGATAGGACCCTGAAGGAAAACAAAAGACATTTTTTTCCAGTAGTCAAAGCACAAGTATGACTGACTTAATTCAAATATTGTATACAGCATGCTAACTTGTCTTTACTGTGTTGCTGGCATTTTCTGAAAAGATAAGGTTGCTTTCATAAAAAAAGACATATATATTTCTATATAAATGAACTTCAATCAAAACTGTCTATTTACTGACCTGAACAATACCTCAGTTATTAATGAGCCTTAAACCAAACAATCCATGTTGTGAATTCAGTGAATCTTTAGTGATAAGAAGAGAACTTTTCTCCATTGTTTCTCCATTGATAAATTAGCCCAACAACTCTGAGAAAATGACAAGACTGGCGTAGAATTGCAAAGACAACTTACATTAGAAATCATCCATAAAATACATGCCATTCTGTTCTTGGCCAACTGGGTTTGCTATCTGCTATTAAGAGCCTATTCCAAAGTCTTATAAAATTATCCAATACACTGAGAGACCAATATTTCTATAAACTTTCTTATATCTACTCAACTAGGTGGATACTGTGGTGTAACATTTTTAAAAGAAAAGAAACAGGTTTACTTACAGGAGGGCCTGGTGATCCAGGATCCCCTAGATTTCCCTGATGAAATGAAAAGACATTCTCAGTGGTAGATGTGGTACTGATTCACATCTGAGTTAGCTTTTTTTTTTTTAGAACTGAAGGACCATAAAATAGATTTGTCAAAATACTTGACTTCAAATGAGATCATTCCATACAATCTGGATCACTGAAAAACCAAATGTTGCTTATTCTAGAATTTTAAATAGTATTGACTATTAAAGTCTAATTTGTCAACTTGCAAAGTATTCCTGGCCTGCTCTCGAGTTGCTACAGGCAAGGGAGATGGAGAACTGACAACACAGCACAGCAACCACAAACAGAAGCACATTCTACACGTATCTTTCTCAAGGCTGTCTCCCAGGTTACCCGCAGCAGCTGAAGGGGTGTAACCTCTACAGCCCGCAAAAGTGCTCCATTGGAGAATGTGATTTATGACACACCCTGGAGGGTGGTGTGGTGTGGGGGAAACAGTGTCATAATTGGGTCATAAATTACATGGGGTCAGAGTTGGCTTCACTTGGGTACGTGTGGACATGTTGCTCTTAATAAATAACTGGATATCTTTTGAAGCTTGGCTCGAGACTCATGGTTTAATTAGAGCATCCATCAGAACTCTTACATAATTGTTACAATGTCAGCTTCTAATAGTATCAGCTGATAGCAGATCTGGAATAATTAATTATTTGAGCCTCCTTACATCTTGTTCTGGTGAACTCCCCATTAAGAGCAAGTTCAGAGTCATTTTTATCAACTCATTTTTGTTGTGACATCTATCTTTTTTTACACATAGAGACTATAGTGTGGGAAATTATGGTACATACATATATGTCACAATGATTTGCATACATGAAATCAATACTTTTGCATAGCTGTACTGTCCAAATGTCAGTTTTCTGGATACAATAGGATGATGGAGGCAGCTAGTTGAAACATTGGGTCAATATGTGATTGCCATTTCCTGGTTGCTCTATAGTCCTTCAATTTTAAATTCTAAAATTATATATACCAATACTAAAATATTGTGAAATAAATGTACACACATATATATTATGCTGCGTTATTGCTATTATTAAACGCCAGTGTGTAATTCATAATATTTTATTACCATTGATACTATACAGTCATGCCTTTCACAAGCTGATTTAAAAATATTACAAGCTTCATTATTACATCTTGCATTTGGCAAATGAAAAAAGAACATAAGTGATTTGCTTTGTGTCCCCCTTTGGTCCCCATGCCAGGGTCTCTCTCTTCCTTTAGGAAAGCTGACCGTGCTAATCAGCCCTGCAATGCAACCTCGTCCTCCCACCCCCATGATTAGTAAGAAGACTCATTGTGCCACATGCAAGGGAGGGGTGTGTGTGTGAGTATAGGAGAGGGAAAGGGGAAAGGAACACCTACCGGTCTGCCCAGAACTCCAGGGAAACCTGGCAAGCCCTGCAAAGATCCAAGGCAAAGACCCAAAGAGTTAGTGAGACCCAGAGCAATCTCTGAAGCAAGCTTTGGATGGCCTCACAAAACGGCAAGGCAGAGCAGTTCATTCTGCGCTAAAAAGAAAGCGAGCGGGCAGAAAAAGCCAACCACAGTCAAGGACTCAGGGCTGCTGCAGCTTAGGTATAAAAGTTACTTACAGCTGGGCCGGGGGCCCCTCTAATACCCTGTAAGCCCTAGATGGAGGCAAGAACATATACAGACACATGAACCAGCTATGTAAAATACAACCACAAGGAAGCGTGATGGACTGTCGTCATCTGAAAGAACTTTTTTTTAAGGGAGGGTTTTCTCATTGCCGTGTCCCCCAGCATCTTCTGGAGGGAAGCTGTTAGCAACAGGACCCCAGAAAAATGTATGTTTAAGATGAGGAGGCACCAACAAGGTGGTTCAGAGCAACCTGGCACACCTGTTGGCAACTGAGACACCTGCAGATATTTGGATGTTCTGCACAAGTTCCGCAGATTTTTCCGATTTTTATTTGTTTAATAACTGCCATTCATTTTACTACCCCTCCTCTCCCATCTCTAAAATGATGCAAACTCAGGGTAACAAAGTGGTTTTTGAACAGAAGGATTTTAAGCTGATTCTAATACCTACAACAAATTGATGAACTCTTAATTCCAATAGTCTGATAGTAAGCCTAACATTTTCATTCTATAATTTAATTTAATATAATTTTGTCTGTTTGTCTGTCTGTCCATCCATCTATCTATCTATATCAAGCCTTTATTATTTTTACAAATAACTAAAGGTGGTGAACATATCCAACGCAAATTCCTCCTCTTATTTTTTTTCCCCATCACAACAATCTTGTGATGTGGGCTGGGTTGAGAGAATGACTGGCCGGAAGTCACCAAGTTAAAGTAGGACTTGAGCTCCTGCTTTTTAGTCTTAACCACTAGACCAAACTGGCTAAAAAACAGTCATACAAAGGAAAGAAAAATGTCATCACAGAATAGTTGATTGATTCCAATATATTCATATCTTTTGTTCAAATGCTTGGATATTTCTGTATATTTGAACAATAACTCACATGTTTGTTTATAGGTGTACTGGACATATGTAAGAAACAACCATAATTATAAGTGACAAAGAGTAAGCAAAACCCTTCTGTCGAGGCCTAAGCTGAATATGGTCTACCAAGGCACTGGAAAGCAAACAATACATCAAATCCAATTATGCAAGAGTTTAGCAAGAATAGATCTAGAAATGATTTGATAAATCAACCCAATTTACACTTAAAACTAATTATTATTAGGAAACATATGAAAACTAGTTTCAAACGCGGTTCATAAAGAAAATGTATCCTGGCTTTCAGAGGTGAGTTCCTACAAGTTCGGGCCGGTTCAGTCGAGTAGGTAGTAACTCGGCCTGCCACACCCCGGAACCAGTCCTATCAGTGGCAGTGCCATCTTGATTTTCGGTTCTGCTCATACGCAAAACAATCTTCATTGCAAATTTTTTATTTATTTTTGCTTTGCTAACATTGTGCGCATGCACGGACCTTTTTAGGTGCAAATGCACACGCACGCAGAGCGCATGTTTGGCATGCGTGTGAGCGAAGGGAGCACGTACGTGCAAAAATATTTGCGTGCTGAATCGGCAGCAATGCCGGGAGCAACCCACCCCTGCTGGCTTCTCAGTGTTACTAAGACATTGTAGTACCAATAAATAAAATGTTCTTCATGGAGAGGCAACTTGTCTCCAGTTGTTTCTGCTCATTCAGGACCTTTCAACAGAGTGGGTGTGCGCCAGGTCTCCTCCATTAAATACTGTTGCCTTATGGGATATAGGAAGCATACATTTCTTTGGGACTTGTGGGTCTGACTTAGCTCCCTGTCACATTCTCTCATATAGAATTTCAACAATACTACTTTTCGTTTGCTGTCTTCTCCTGCCTCTCTTTTCCCCCCTGTATCATAGGATTTTCTCTACTAATGCTGAACCTTTTATACTTACCGCTTTCCCTTCTGACCCAGGAAGGCCTCTCTCTCCTGGAAGTCCCTGCAGAAGATGGAGAATAAGTAGCAGCCATCAAAGCCACAGTAGTGTAATGCAATAATAACTATACATGGTAATAGAATGGGCCCATTCTGAAAGTAAAGCATTCACTGTTAAAAAGCAGAATAAATTCTGACGTCAGAATTGTTTTTGATGCAACAGCTGTCATCATTGTGATAATGATCCATGGTTGATACTCACTGGAGTGCCATCCCTGCCCTTTTCACCAGCATCACCTCTCTCCCCTTTTTGACCATCTTCACCCTGCAACCCAAGATGGCATGACATCACAAAAGGAAAATTGGCAGCTCTATGGTGTCAACTCCCCACATCATACAAGCCAGGATCACGGGCGTCAAACTTGCCGTGCATGTTGCTGTCACATGACATTTCATGATGTTTCTCCCCTTTGCGGAGCTGGGGTGGGTGTGGCGTGCATGTGACGCATCTGGCCCACGAGCCACCAGTTTGACACGCCCCCCCTCTGCTCTAGGTATTCCTGTCCTATTGAAATATATTTCCATTTCACCTAGTAATTATTTGTAACTTTGCATTTATGCAAAGCTTTCTATGGAAATGTGCGTTCCTTTTTGTCCTCTTTTTGATGATGCCTGCATATTTGACACCCCTGGCTCAGATCAACAAAAGTAGAAAGCCTTCCAAGAACAGGAGAGCTCTGCCTTTCTCCTTTGTCTTCTATAAAGGCCACTGAAAGGCTGAGATCTCCTGTATACTCCTTGGAAGCAAGTCTGAAAAAGATAAGTATCCTAGGTTTTATTGAAGGCAATGAATTTGATGCTTTAACTACATATTTAGGTTCAATATTAGTATATCATCCTGTACCATAATTTCTTCCTTAGTGGTTCCTAAGTGCAAAATAGCATAAAGAATAAAATAAAAACCCAGTATAATTTAAAAATAAAATAAAAGGAGGCCACTTCCACGATGTGATTATTTATTTATGAAATGTTTATGGTTCCCCAACGTAAGCAATTGTGAATCTAGAAGACATACAAGCAACAAGTAAACAATACCGTTAACAACCATAAAATTTAATAAGTGATTGTGAACAATATTATTGTCCCTCTTCCTGTGGGTTTTGCCACAAAAAGATTACCTAACTCTTCCTTGACTCCTTCATCAATATCTTGACATAACCATTTCATAACATTTTAAATGTTTCAGACAGAAATGGAGTCAATACATAGTTTCTAGTCTGATTACAGAAAATTGGTCTGTAATTATAAAGACACCCCACCCCCCCACACACAAATTTCAGTCTCAGCTCCAAAAGAAAGCATAATGTAAACCAATGACAAAAGATTCTTGCAAAAAAACTCATGGTCACTAATAGAAATGGTAATACAATCAAAGGAGATAAGTAATCTTGGTGGACAAAGCTATCTCGCTCTTATTCACTGCACCATTGCTCTGATGGTGAAAAATTAGAGCTGTGCAAATCATTGCATGAGATAGTGGAGAGGTTAAGCAGGTTAGTCAGATATAGCACAATCCATTCAAGGGCAGTGATACATAGCAATTGTTAACTGGGAACAGGAAAAGGAAAGCATTGGGAAGATTGGTAGGTGGCTTGGTGAACAGGCCATGGGGAGAAGAAAAAGAGAAAGAGACAAGTTGCACCAGCCTTTCCATACCTGCCCCATAACACCCTGGCTGGAATCTGGTGGAAGCAAGCTATTTGGGTTTCAAATAGGCTGAACTTCTGAGCCACAGCAAGTGTGTTTTTTTATTCACCTTTGTGAATAAAAGACCCCCTTGGGGCTGCTGAATTATTCATTAAGACAATGAAAGAGACAGAGACAAAATAATACTAAAGCAAGTCAAACACTTGCAGGAAAGAAGAGTTCCCTCTCGCAAGTGGCGGCACAGAACAGACACAAGGACAGCTGGAGAAGTGCAGAGATGAGAAACTTACTACATTCAGACCTTATCGCCTCTGGAACCCTTTACACCATCTTCTCCTGGGTCTCCCTGTGCAAGAATAAAAAAGGGAATGATTACTTCCAAGCCTTAAATTACAAGGGCTTTATTAAAAAAAAAAAGGATGGGAAAAATGTCCTGCTATCAAAACAATCATCAACAGACTCCCAGTGGACACCATGTTAATAAACCATTTACATTTTCTGACTTGTAGTTCCTCACTTCAAGACCAAAAGAGTTTCTGCTCACAGAAGAGAGCAGAATATCTCTCAATAAAAATACAACTCCTGCTTTTTTCTCAACAATAAACATAACCCATCTAATGTTAAGGTCAAACTAGTCAGGCAGTTAATTAGTGAATATGGTTTATATAGCAATAGCAATAGCGCTTAGACTTATATACTGCTTATAGTGCTTTACAGCCCTCCCTAAGAGTCAGCATATTGCCCCCAACAATCTGGGTCCTCATTTGATCGACCTTGGAAGGATGGAAGGCTGAGTCAATCTTGAGCCGGTCAGGATTGAACTCCTAGAAGTGATCTGAATGAGCATGCAATTCTGCATTCTAACCACTGTGTTACCATTGCTCTTATATATACATTTTTTTAAAAAACCCAGCAACTATATTATAGAAGGTGATATATAATTGCAAGATCACAGAAATGTTGACTCCTTCCATTGTAATCCTATAGACTAAACAAATGATGCTTCCCAATCAAAATGCACGCTATATAGGAAAATAATTTGATTGAAAAAAATAACAAAGGGACATTCACTAACCTTGCTTCCCTTGGGTCCTATAGGTCCACGTTCCCCAGGAAATCCAGAGACGCTCCCTTCTACTGTCGAATCTACCTGAAAGTACAAAAATATGTCAGTCTTGTCATCAATCTGTCTGACAGCCTCTGCCTCTCTTCCATACAAACTTCTATAGATTCCTGTTTGGGCCCATAATATTATCAACAAAAGTAACATTTTCAACACAGCTATAGAACCTTTCAGATATAATGACATTTCAACTCTCCCCCAGAAAGTGCATGATTATCATATACCAAGGGCTTTCACATACATATACAGTAACCGAAGTTGGGATTGTTCATATTTAAGCAATAAATATTGAAAGATACATGTGCTTGATGAATCTATCAATTTTCCTAGGCAACAACCCAAATTCTAGTTCAATCCCATGGATTTATTTTTATTTATTTCATCAAGCATGAATTAGATAACAAATATAAGTATAAACATGATTATGTATACATGAAATGAATACAAGGGAATATTAGGATAGGATTGGTAGACACGCTGGTACGTTTATGCATGCCCCTTAAAGACCTCTTAGGAATGGGATGAGGTTGACAGTAGACAATCTAAGGTTAAATTTTGGGGGCTTGGGGAAGAAACTACAGAGTCAGGTAGTGCATTCCAGGCATTGACCACTCTGTTACCGAAGTGGTATTTTCTGCAATGAAGTTTGGAGCGGTTTACCATAAGTTTGTATCTACTGTGTGCTCGTGTGTTGTTGTGGCTGAAGCTGAAATATTTAGCTTCAGGATACTAATAATTTATTGGATAATAAAAAAAGATTGCTCATACTAGTATCATACGAAGCTTGGAATTATTATTCCACAAATGCCCTCCTTAACTAAAATGGGCACAACCCCTAGACTTAGCCATTAATTCCATGATAGGCAGTGTTTCATGTTGACAACTGAATGGCTTGCAAAACAGCAATTTTTCTATGGATTTTATCATTTTAAGAAAGTAAAATATACTTCAAGCTGAGCTCAATTCATAGTGATGTCATAAAGCCATCCATTCTTTCCAGGGGAAAGAAACACAAAAGAATAGCTGTCTTATGGTTCCTTGCTCTCTTCATGACAGATATACCTCAAATGTCCACCAGTTTCCTTCCATAGAATTATAAAATATAAGGATTGGAAAATATAGTAGGTCATGTAGTCTTCTTCTTAAAGATCAAAAAATTAACTTCTTAATATTTTGTAATTTTGTAGCCAGAGTGTTATTTTAAATCCAACAGACCTTGGGTCCTGGTGGGCCTGGAGGACCTGACGGGCCATCTCTACCCTGTGGACAAGAAACACCAGGTAAAAATCAACAAAATGCACCATTTCTAGAGGTCACTTCTCTTTTGCCTCTCCATGGGTTGCAGCTCCAAACCTTCTATGTTGACTTTAAAGAGAAAAGATCAGAGATCATGAGTTCTTTTTCAGACTAGCTGCAGTTTACTTACAAAAAATCTATAACAGAATCTAGACACCTTAAAAACAAGAAAAAAGATGCAAGGCAAATGATTTCTAGGTCAATGGATTTTAGATTAGAAAAGCAATGGTAGAAGGGGTTTTACAGTTTCCAATTTCCTCAAAAAAACATTGCTTTGAGAAGGCTATAAATGTCAATTTATGATTTGGACACACACACACACACACACACACACACACACACATGCTGTATGTGTGGGTATACATATGTAGGGGACTGTGATTACTTGAAATCTAACTATAAACACTTGTGTGCGAATCATGTGAAAACTAATTGGAGGGTAATGCAGAGCAGACACATAACAGATCAACATACACATATGTGATTCCTTTTCCCACTGATTGTTCACTGCAAGCATTTAAAAAAGTATTGGTATTGTATGAACTTTTAAGCGATCTGCCTCCACCTAGAACTGGAACACTGTAATCAACATAATCTAGAGCAGGAATAGAATGTTCCAAAGTTCTCTACATTGCTCCATTTAAATTTTCCAAGAAAGTTTAAGGTTGCACATCTAAAGAGACCACTAGAGACCACTACGGTATTTCATGGTTTAGTTGCAGGTAACATGAGGGATGCAACAACCAGCGATGAAGGTTCAAGAATAAGTAAATGAAGGTATGTACCAAGTTGGCAGCACAAAGAGCCAAGCAAACATCATGTATGCTCTTGCACATGGAGCTGCCAATATTGATAGCAACGGACAGGAGATCATTGTGTGTGCATTTACTCATAGAGTTCTTCTGAAGATGAAAGGGAGAAGTGAAGCATTGCTTAGGAATGAAACACAGAAAATGATATTCTATATATTAACTCTGAACTGCAGTAGTTCAGTCTAAGTCAAGAGCACAGAGTAGGAATAAGATGCAAAACTGCTTCCAGCAAATGGGGAACTGAGGTGGCACAGTGGTTAAATGCAGCACTGCAGGCTACTTCAGCTGATTGCAGTTCTGCAGTTCGGCTGTTCAAATCTCACCGGCTCAGGGTTGACTCAGCCTTCCATCCTTCCGAGGTGGGTAAAATGAGAACCCAGATTGTTGTTGGGGGCAATATGCTGACTCTGTAAACCGCTTAGAGAGGGCTGAAAGCCCTATGAAGCGGTATATAAGTCTAACTGCTACTGCTATTTGGTGGGTTGATATAGGTATTCTCCTGGTTATGTGTATGCGGATCTAGAACTTTATTTCCAGCTGCTGGAATTGGCTATAAGGCTGGTTAACTGTGGCAGGTCCTAGAAGTATTATAACATACTCTCAAATCACCATTTCTGCATAGGACAGGGGTTTTCTACTGAGCCAAGGTGACCTGCTATGCAGCCTGGCATCCATATCTTCGGATGGGATGGGTAGATTGTCCATAAAGGCAGAAGATGGCCCTGTCAGTGCAATCCCAGGACCTAGCGAAGTACAGAGTATCCCTGGCATCTGCCAAAATCTCCTACTATGCACTAGATAGGAGAATCTAAAAACATTATAGGAGAACACAATGGCAAACCAATTTAATACCATTGCCAAAACAATCACATAGCTCTATAAAGTCACACGGAGCAGAGTTTTAGCTCTACTCCAAAAGGACTTTTTATTCCTACTCACCTGTTCTCCTTTTGCACCTTGCTCACCCCTGTCACCCTGAAATACAAAAATAACATTTTAAAAAGAGATAAAACAATCAATATAGTTGCATGACTTCTGACATTCTCTAATCTCAGTTTAAGCTTAGAAATGTAAAGTGAGTTCGGGTTTTTTTTGGGGGGGGGAATTATTGCAACTTTCTAGGAACTTGAGGTTATCATATGATTTCCCCCCCCCCCCATTGTAGTGGAAAACTATTATAGATACTTTAAATGGTTTTACTGTTATTATGTATACTGTTTTGTACTTGTCAGTTACAGAACTTTATAGTGACATAAATAAATCCATACAGGTTCTGCGATGAATAAATAAAGTATTCAGATGTGTTTTATAATAGACAATCCCATTTAAGAGGTTCCCTCTAAGGCCAAGATCATCAAAATGTATAAAATCAAAGCATACATTCACACGAAGAGTAAGTCAGGACTATTTTACTGCTCCTGATGGTTTTTTAAAAGCTTTTCAGTCAGGGGCTCATACTTCTGCTTACTTTCTCTCCAGGCCTCCCTGCTTCTCCAAGTTCTCCTGCCCGGCCTGGTAGCCCTGGAATTCCAGGCTTCCCAGGCTCCCCTGACAGCCCAGGCGTTCCTCTTGGCCCCTGCTCTCCAATGGCACGTCCTGGTGGTCCTTGTGGTCCTTCATTCCCTTTATCTCCTTTTGCTCCTCTTTCCCCAGGGAAGCCTATGAGACCCTACAGGAAATAGTCAGGCTTTTACTTAGGCCGATTCTGGAATAGAAAGCTTGTTAGGCAGAGATTCAAGGACACGGCTTTTTTTTTTTTTTAAAGACTATTGCAGATACTGGAAAATTGTCCACAAAATCAGCGGCTGGTAATTGTAAGGCTCAAACTATTTATATATTAGCTTCAAATTTTCAAATCATTCTTGACAGATGAAGGCTATTCACTTTGAGTGGAGAGACCAGTTGACATCTAAGCATTAGAAATATAGTAAATCAGTCTTGTCTCAGCCAATTTAACTCTTCCTTCAATACAGAGCATAACATAGGCCAGTGATGGCTAACCTTTTTGTTGTCGCATGGCGAAACTGCGCACGTGCCCGTGCCATAATGCAATGCGTGCTGTGACAAACACAACCTGCCACCTGTCCCCCTGTGTATGTGTGTGCGACCACCCTCGCATGTGCATGCGACATCCCCCAGCCCATTTTGGGCCTAGTAGGCCTCCCTGCAGCCTCCTGGGATCAAAAATGGGCTGTGTGACACACACACCCCCACACAATCCCCCCGCATGAGCACACAACCCCTGTGCATGCACACATTTCTCCCACATGCACCCCATCCTCCATGCATTCACGACTAGAGATCCGAAAATCAGCTGGCCGGCGGGAGGCACGTGCGCATGCTCAGTGGAGCTGAGCTGGGGCGTCGGCTTGCATGGCCGCCGAGTGGGCTCTGTGTGCCACCTGTGCTACATGTTTGCCATCATGGATGTAGGCAAAACAACCCTCTGCATAAAGGGTATTCTGAGGGAGGTATTAGAGGTGGCTTAATCCAATGCTTCCCCTTATTTAACTGAACAAAATAGGACACCCAGGGGGCTTTCAAGTGTGATTCAATGTGCTCATTGTTATCATCCTTTAAAGTCCAAGAAACAAATGGTGGATCAGATTTGGGGCTCTTTTTCAGTTATGGAAGTATGTAAAGAACCTTATGAGAATCCCACAAGCTGCTGGGATTCAAAGAATACTAAACGTTTGATTTTCCTATTTCTTAGTACTTACCCAAACCATGCAAACTTTCAGGCACACCCATCTGTTGAGGGTCATGAGAAAACTTTGCTGCCTTCCATTGATTTGCAAAGCTGAGTTACAACTTCACAGGAGTCACCCGGGTCTGCTGTACTACAGCTTACTGTTTCATATTTTATTCTTCAAACATTGTAATTCACATCTGAGAGCCTCAATTCGAAACTGGCCTTTTATCACAGAATTTAGACATTCAGGAAAGTAATGAATTGGTTGCCTGGGGTTCTGCCCCACTTTTAGTGAACTTTTTCTAAATAATACTATAGGAATACTAACATATAAGCATTAATCAATGTTGAACCAGAGGTGGGTTGCTCCTGGTTTGGTCCGGTTCAGCCGAACCGGTAGTGGTATTTTGGCCTGGATCGCAGAACTGGCAGTGACCCAGGCTGGCCAGCCCCCGAACTGGTTCCCTGGTTACTGCGGCTGGCATATTGTTTAGTACTGCGTGCACATGCACAGTTCACTGTAAACTGTTCTGTGCATGCATAAAAAACAATTTATATTGAACTGTGCATGTGCGTGCAGAGCGCGCGCAAGGTGAACCAGTAGTAAAACCAGGAGCAACTCACCTCTGTGTTGAACCAATTTGTCTACATCATCGTCATGGTATTTGGGTTTAGGATACAATATCCAGGAAAATATTATGTATACTGAGTTTAGAATTTTGTTTGTATATGTGTGAAGAGCTTTTCCCAGCTAGACCAAAAAGAACAATAAAATATACACTTAATATTTATGTATGAAGAACTCAGCCTTACCTCCTTCCCTGGTGGCCCCCTTTCTCCTGGATCTCCTCTCTCACCCTTCGGTCCTCTCCGGCGGTCAGGGAAAAGCGGTAGCAGATCTGAGCTGCCATCATAAGCACCAGTGATCTCTCGGAGTAGGGAAATCTATGAGGAAGCAAAGATGAATCACTGAACACAATCGAAAATGCAAACCTTTGTAAACTAATATTCCTTTAGCTTATTTACAGATGTGAGAGAATGATGGCTCCAACCTAATTCGACTTCATTATGGCACTGATTTGGCTCAGATATAAACAAGATTCCCATGCTTTACTATAAACTGTATATAAGTTATGTTACTTTGGTTATCAGAATTCCAAAACAATTTGTTCAAGTGATCATATAAACACCAAAAACTAAATAATTTAAACTATTTCCTGCAGCAGATTGTTCCACAATTTAGAAACTAATGTTAAAAGGTTTGCTTTCTTGGGTCTAACATCTGTAATGAGACATCATCTAATGATTCAGATAGTTTTAGAGAAGATGGTTCTTTTTAACTCAATAAATATATTTGACCTGAGGCAGGAGGCACTTATCTCTTTTTAGTTGTTTACTTACAAAGCCAGCGAGGAGTTCTGAGGGAGGGACAGTGATATGTGCATGACAGAGATAAGATGGAGGATGTAAACTGAATTCTTACCTTAATACCATTTGCTTCTAGGGCACGTTCAACATTCTAGACAAACAGAAATGGGGAACCGTGAGCAAAAAATAAAATGAAAAAGAAAATAGACCATTGGAAATAAATATCAAAACATAATGGAATAGGATGGCAGTCGTCTTATGCAGCCCAGCATCCTTCCTTGTACTCAGTCCAAATTTAAGAGATAACTTTAATGTTCTTGAGAAATAAAACTCCTGATTAGTAAACTCTACCAGCTCTGTTACTCCAACAACTTTTAATTCAATAATGTTCCTGCCTTATAAATCCTTTAAATATTTTAATACACTCAGCAGTAGGAATTATATTCATCCATGATTCACGACACATTCTGACGATAAAATCGTTCATTCTTCTCAATTTAAACTTTCACAGGGACAGCTGGTCTATGACTGTAATAAAATAGATTGATAAACTTTTACAGAGGTAAATTCTCCTTCCTAGGCTTTCAAGATGAAATGATGAAATAATATTTTTGCTCACTCACTGATGCTGTCCCGGGTTCGCCTCGTGGCCCAGTTTCACCATTTCTCCCCTGAAGGAAAATTAAAATAAAAACATTAGAATGAAAGTAGTCCAAGTGACAGGATATACATCTGGATTTTGCCATAGAATGTATACTTCAGAAGCAGAATCCTGGCAATCAGACTTAAAGGACAGTAGAAAGGCAGATATTTCTCAGGATTAAACTCCAAGAGGCAAGGACACCATCCAGAGTGTTTTAGGAAATATTTCACAGTATCCTGTCACTCCTTTTTATTAATGACAGGGGTGAAGTAAACCATTCGACTAATTTCTTATGGAAAGTTTCAGTATGCTATGAATGTTATAGCAATTTCCAAATTAATAATTGGATTACACTCAGGGGTGAAATGCTACCGGTTCTGACTGGTTCGCTAGAACCGGTAGTAAAAAAAAGCTTTTAAAAAGGTTCCATGACACTCAAGCTATTGGAGTGCGCAATTGTTGTAACTAACCACCCCCCCCCTTTTAAAGCATTTTTTTCCTGCTGGTTCGGGTGAATAGGTGGGGAAAAATGCTTTAAAAAGTGGGGAAAAGTTGGCCATACCCACTTGGTCACATGACCCCCACCAAGCCACGCCCACAGAACCAGTGGCAACATAATTAGATTTCACCACTGATTACACTCCTGAATCATTGTCTTCCAGGGTCTTTTTCATCATAGTGATAACACAGATCAGAAACCAGCCACTGGAACGCACCAATGGAAAGGTCTCTGGCATACTGTATGAGTTACTAATATATGGATTGCTATGTTAGATGATAACTAGGGGCACCTTTCCAAACACATGGTACATCTGGCATAAACTGCAGATGATCCAAATCAGTGGTCATTGATCTGCTAAAAATTGTTTCCGTACAATATTACTTGATTCTACTGTGCTTTAGGTTCTATCAAACTTCACTGAAGATCTCATTGTTAAATAACTAAAAGAAAGGAGAGATGGGCTGAGTGAAAAGTCACATTCATATTCAATAAAATGGGATTCCTATCAGACCAAATTTTGTGTCACGAAAGCATCCATAATGAGTTTCAAAGCTCTAGAAATAATTCATTTTGAATTATTAAATTCCTGGGGAGAAATGCCCACCTGTTCTCCTTTGAATCCAGGCTCTCCTCTGTCTCCCTGAAACAGAACAGGATGAGAAGTCACTGGGCAGAGAATTACAAAGAAATTCAATTCTGCTCTAGAAGATATTAAAGACTCAGGAAGACCTCCCAAGTTGGGCAAGCTATAGATCAATAACTCTGCTTAATGTGATTGCTAAATTATTCATGTTTTCTAGGAAGCCACAGAAATATCATATATTGTATATACTTTAAAGAGTCTATCCAGGCATAAGCCAACCCTCAAATTTTTAACCAAAATACCATGAAAAATGCCCTACTCATGGATAAGCCAACCTTCAATGGTTTTTTTGTCAATATATTCTGAACAACTTCATTTGTTTTAATATTTTGCATCAATAAATAATCTTTTCAAGAACAGATTCCATTTTAAATTTTCACAATTGGCTTATTCATGGTAGCATGTTTTTCATAATATTTTGGTTTGGCTTATCCATGAGAGTATACGAGTGCTTTTAAAAAGTATTCCCTTTTATGTATATTTATGAATAAGCTGAACCCAATTTGGAGACTATTTTGAGACCAAAAATTCTCAGCTTATCTGAAATTATATATGGCAATACCACCTATAATTCAATCTAGATTTATAAAAAATAGATACATATTGGGGTTGGAAATGTGGCCCAATTTGTGAGATGCTTGCATTGAAGTTTATATATAGTATTTGACCTGGCTGCTAATTTGCATTTGTGGTGATATTATTGTTTTATGTTTTTATCATCTTATTTGCTGAGATCAAGATGAACAGTCTTATGAATTGAATTAAGCACATGTCAATATTTGTTTTGTAATTTCTACTGTAGGTATTGCCACAAAAAAATTGAAGTAAATTGTTAAACATTTTGATATAATCTGGACTGAATTTATGAAGTGCATTCTATGAAGATATGGGTTACCATCATCATTTGTTTGCTGGATTACTATTCTTAATTCAATGGTTAAACTTATTACAAATAGTTTTGTCTCTCAGCTTCTGAAGTTATATTATGATATCCGAGAAGGATGCCCCTAGTCTTGTCCAATTATAATCTTGTTCATTTTCAAATTACTATATACATCAATGCAATTTTGGGAACAAATAGTATATTAAAGGATTTCAATGTGATGTTGACCAATATTTCTAAAACATGGAAATTATTATCCTCCCAAATAACACGAAGCATGTCAAAGAAGATAATTTTACAGAACTGGGGGGAAAAAATTACTCTCCTAATTTAACTAATGGTTAACTAGGATGTGTGTCTACTATTTTTGCAAACATTTTGTGTTCTAAAATGATAATGTAATGCAATATATTGCTATCAATCTAGATTTGATAAACTGAACAACCAAATAACTTTATGTTGTTATCTTTAGTTATTGTATGGATCTTTTTTCTGTTAATTTTTGACACATTTATTTTAATCACTATAATGTATCTACATTTTTCCCCCACTATAATCACTACTTATCTTTTTCCTCTCTTGGTGATGTATTTTTTTTGTATTTTTAAAAAATATTTTACCATTAAAATGAAGTGGAATTTTAACATCCTGCTCTAGATAAAAGACACTTTAGATGCTTGATCTAGATGCTAAGTTATTTATGTTCCAGATTCCAATATCAGGTGGATTGTGAAAGATAGGATAACTTAAATCATGACTGTAAGTGGAAGGCTGATATAGCCAATCTATAATATGCTTCCTTCACATGCCAATTGTTTCTACTCACAGATTCTGGGATGAAAAAAAGCAATAGAAACACACAAGTACTGTATCTATTGTGTTCCCAAAACAATAACAATACCATTCATGTGTGGGTTCAAAATTACAAAAAAAAAAAAAATCTGTAAAGTCATAGAAGGAATTCAGCTGCCATTGAGACAGAAGGAGAAATTGCAGTGGCATCTAACTTTTTTTTTTTTTTACAATTCTACTGATGTGATGTGATGCATAGTAGATTCTTACTTACCTTTGGGCCAGATAATCCAGGGAGGCCAGGCAAGCCCTGAAAATAGCAAAATGTATACTATTAGAGAACGAGAAAGAGACATTTATCCCATTGAGACCAACCAACATGGTCCTAAATAGCCACTAAGCAAGGATAGCAAACCCACAATAATAACAAACCACATGAGCAATACCAGGACACTTAAAAGAAACATTATCTATGAGCGTTTCAAATAAATTCTTTGGCAAAGCCAAAGCAAAATTCACCAATAATTCTTTCAAACTGATTTCTGGAAATCTAAATTCTTCCTGATTAATGCAATGCATATTTATTTACTATCAATTCTCACAAATAATATTTTATTAATTAGAAATGGTTCTCTTGAAAAGATATGAGATTTGACTGACTCCCCATAATGATATTTTTTGTATAGAATTATTTTTATACCAAGTCAACAGGAACTGATGATGAAGACTAGGGATAGGATTATAATCTATTTAAACTGCATCATATTAGCTGCAAACTTGACAATTTATATTGCTGACTGTAAAACATTGTATTCATTACCATCTTCACTGGCAATGCCCAGTTAATTAGTCTGATTGAAAGTTTTTGAAAATATTGGGGAGATCTTTGATCAAATTTCAATTTTTGATCCCTAATCCAGCTTGTTTGCTCATTGCCATTTTCTCCAAATAAATAAACAAACAAATAAATAAATATTGATACAATATAAATATTCATCCATTTCCTGTTCTTATGTGATATGCTTGCGATTGTAGAATACTTCAAAGGTAACTTCTTTTAGTGGATTAGAGATATTGACAGTGTGGAAAATTGCTCTGCTTAAAAAAAACTAATTCAGCAATAAAAAGGTTTGAAAAATAAATTTAGAAAAATAATTCTAAATAAAAAGATAGGTTTATTCAATATATTAATTACTGATTATATGAGCAATATTTTAATACATTATCCTTAACTATATAAATATGATTCTGAATGTAAATGGTTAAATGCATATTTAAAAGACTTACGTTTTTCTTTACTTATATACTGTATGTGTGCATGTACATGCAAATTATCCTGCTCCAAAGTTTTTTTCTTTCTGTTGTTTCAGCTTCTCTCATTGGCATTTCAATTTCAGTTCTGTGTTTTCTTTTTCTTTTTCCTTTTACATGCACACATGCTCCCCATAATGAATTTCAGCCCCTATCCATCTTCATGCTAGTTTCTGCTGAGGCTTAATGTTCATATCCTATTGTAATTTATCATTTCCTATTATAGATTCTGCGGGAGGAGGAAATTACCTGGCCTGGTTGACCAACTTGTCCAGGCACGCCGGGAACACCTGATGGCCCTGGAGGCCCTGGGGGCCCACTGGTTCCTCTCTCTCCTTTAACACCCTCAGGACCCTGTCAAAAAAAAGACAAATACAGTTAGATATTAGCCACATGCGTAGGGAGATTTCCTGTGGTCTTTTTAAAACTGGCAACAGCTTTGCATAATCTGAGCCAAGGATCTTATCCAACCTTGTTTTCTGAAGTGCCTTTTAACAGGAGACATTGTGAATTCTTCTCTACAGAGAACTTCTGGGCTCTAATAACTTGCTAACAGTCTCCCCCACCCATGTTACTAAATATTATCCGTTTTCCTTTTCTTGGTAATCTACATACTTATGACTTAATAAAATCCTATACCTTAAATCTAATTCTCTTTTTCAAAAATATTTGCGTAAGAACAATTTAAAGACCAGGAAAGTTGACCCGATATTTTTTTTTACCTTAAACTTCACCCATGTGTCAATTCTCACAGCTTGGCAAGGAGCAAGCTGTGAGAATTGAAGGGGTGGAGATAAATCTCTCCTTGCTCACAACTTACACGGGGCTATTATGTCATGATTCTTTGCGTGCATAGCATTTTCGGTGCACACAAACTTCCATATGTTTTATTGTGAAACAATGTATTTATTCTCATATCTGGCAGGATCCCTGTTAACCTTAATGCACTGATTATCCACTTTTCCAGGCGGATAACTCTGGCAGTGACTCTACTAAAAAAAAAAATCAGAATAAAGGTAAAAACAAACTTGTGAAGAAAACTCATTCAATGGAAAAGTACTTACTTCTTTGCCAGGTGTTCCAGATTCACCTTTCTCCCCCTAAACACATTTAAAAAAAATCAGAACGGTATTTATATGCATCCTGGAGCTTTCTTATACATAAATAGCAGTTTTCTTGGATGCTAACATCCATCCACTGAATTTTACCACAATCCAAGGAGAGTCACCTAAACCTATATGCACAGGTGTCAAACGTGCGATGCTACATCATCACAGGACATAACATGACTTTCCCCCCCTTTGCTAAACCGGGAGTGGCCAGCATCTGTTACATTCCTCTACTGAGATGGAAATCAATAAAATGGACTAGTTTTGGGATACTTCTGAGGGTCAAAATGGCCTACCTTAGATGTGTGCTGAGCCAATTCCTTAATGCTTCATTGCCTAACAAAACACTGCCTAATGACTCTTATCCTCTAATGACCACTGATGATGTGAAGAAATCATCAACAATGATCTGCTATTCAACTTAAGCAAAGAGCAAAATTGGGTCGCTCTTAGATTTGCTGTTCTTGGCTTGCAATAGCAGTAGACATATACCGCTTCATAGGGCTTTCAGCCCTCTCTAAGCGGTTTACAGAGAGTCAGCATATTGCCCCCAACAATCTGGATCCTCATTTTACCCACCTCGGAAGGATGGAAGGCTGAGTCAACCCTGAGCCGGTGAGATTTGAACCGCTGAACTGCTGATCTAGCAGTAGCCTGCAGTGCTGCATTTAACCACTGCGCCACCTCGGCTCTTCGGATAATCTAGCAGTAGCCTGCAGTGCTGCATTTAACCACTGCGCCACCTCGGCTTCTAACGGATAAAGTCACTCGGATTCGGACAGATCTGGACTCCAATTACACGGTACCAGCTGAGGTACCGGGGGAAGGTCTTGAATGAATTTTATGGAGCGAGTTTCAACTTGGCGCTCCTGAGGAAGTGGACAAGGCCATGGGAGCGGTGAGTGCCTCCACCTG